GTTTTGAGGAAAATAACCATTGAATTGAAGACGGAAACTGTAGAAAAGCATCAGCACGGTATTCGTGTGACTGATCTGGCCTTATTACAAGATGGCAACGTGTACACCCCCAGCTACGTATTATGCAGTGATGTGAAGCTTCAGTGACACAATATAGATAAGTCTGAGGATCATAAGCGAAAAAAAGGAGTTCCCGGACATTAGGGCATGGTAACAATACAATTTTTAATTGTACCATCAAGGTCCTATCGCTATGTTAAGTGGCACTTATTACATTATTAAAACTACACAAACTAAGAGTCATAAGCTATGGAATATACACTATGTTAACTATTTGTACCTTCACAAAATTCTAAAAATGTATGCAGTGTACTTCAAATATTTCAAAGTTTTAAATTCTACCCAGGAAGTCTGGCTCTAGAGGCACCAAGAGCTCTGGGTCCTAGGCCTTACTGCCAATTCAGGGGCTAAACTGCTTTGGGTCACAGAAGCCAAAACTGATGACTCTCCCCCCTTAAGAATACAAACACAGGCAGTTGGGCTACAGTCTCAGAAGCTATATGAAGCTCTTCATAGGTTTGTGAAGGATCCATGCACTGGGAGTTAAAAACTATACTAACTTATTATATAGAAGAGGCAGCAAAGAAAATGATGAATTCTGAATATCGACTGCATGCCAGATGTGGATCATCAGCTGTCACTTAATCCCTACAATGGCTACCTGCAACAGTAGATATGCTAATTTACTGACAGAATAACTGAGGTGGATAATTAGGCACTTTACTTGGAGACCACGAAGAGAGTAAAAAAAGCCAAGTATTTGATCTGAAAGATAAGAACAAAACCTAGGCTTCCTCTTGACACTCAGTAGGTATCCTGAATGAATGATACGAATCTCCTTATAACAAAATAACATGCCTGAGGGTGGATATACTTTGCTTTGGGAGAATATGAGGGAGGTTATTTATTTATATTTATTTCTAAGATGCTGTCTCACTTCTTAATTCCATTTATTTCTAAGATGCTGTCTCACTTCTTAATTCTAGAGCCCAGAGGGATATTCTAAAACTTTGGACAAAGAGATTACAATTAACTAACAAAAGACTGACAAATTCAAGATTTATACAGTATAAAAATTATATGCAGTGGCCGGTCCCCACTGTGGATTACAATTACAGTCATTAGACTATATGTAATCTAAAAATCATATGCAGTCCTGTAATTCTTTTAGAACAATATTCTGTGAAACCCCTCCAAATCCAGTGTTTCCATAACAAGTTCCACTTTTAGCAACACTGGCACAAAAATATTTTCTTAGTGTTCTTAGAACACTGTATGCCAGGAATGACAGAAATCATGTTTTAAAATAATTTTTTCGCTATACACCACACCCCCTTCTTAAAAAAGCACACTTTTATGATATGAAAACAAAATTATTCAAGGAAGATAAAGCAAATGGTGAAATTAATGGGCAGGGGCTGACTGGCTGACTTAACCATGACAGTGAATACTGTGAAAGACAGATAAATACTTCAGAAACTGGACAGCACATGATGACTAGCATATAAACTATCTTCGGTCCCAGACAGATACTAGTGTCATTTAGATAAAGAGAACAGAGGGGTAAAGTTAGTAAGACTGGGTTTGGGTAAGTGTGTGGCAATAACAGGTTCAGTGCAGAGCTCACTGAAGAGATACTGTCATAAGAACTCACTGGTTTAGAGATACTGTCATAAGACCTTCAAATAGAGATAAACTCTAGGCCTTGCCTGGAAACCAAAGGACACTGGAGTAACTTTAGGAGTCATCAGTCACTATCCTGTCCTTCAGTCAGTCAATAATTACTGCACTTCTATATCAAACAGAAATAACAACTGGGTGTGGGTGCACATGCCTACAATCCTAGCACGTGTGAAGCTGAGGCAGGAGGATCTTGTGAGCCTGGGCTACTTAGTGAGTTCGAGACCAGCCTGAACTACATAGCAACATGCTGTCTCAACACAACAAAACTATTAAGTGTACATCAAGTATAAGCTATTTTGTAGGCAATGTCAGGATACTAACATTTATCTAATTTTCATAATCATACAAAGCAGGTGATATTATTATCACCCCTCACATGTGAGGAGCAAGATTACATAGCTAATAGTCCCACGGTCAACCCAAACATTTGCTTTGGGAGAATATGAGGGAGGTGGGGAAGAACACCTGAAGCAAGAGTTAATGAAAATGTAGAATTTTAGTTCAAGATTGTTGTTTAACTGGATTTAGTTTAATTTCTATCAAGAACTTACTTTCGTTAACTCGAAAGACAATATACATCTTATCTCAGAGTCCTATACCCAAGAGCCTACTATTTTCCAGCCTTCACACTAATATTCAGATCTTGCATTGCATTATAATTGCAATTTCTCCTTATGGAGCCATATATTGTCTTTGAATCCCTATACCCCGACTTAACAACAGAAGATACTCGCAGTAGTCTGTTAATGGAAGATATTCAGCAAAAGTCTGTTGTATGGTCATTTTCATCTTCCTAAAATTGCTAAGGTTTCAGTAAAGTATGTTTCGCCTTTCACTGCTGTGTGAGGCACTTGCTTTCAGATACTACTTGAACTGTCCATGTTCAAAACGCCTTGGGATCCTCAAATTACTTATTTTTTTAGAAATACTCTTTTAAAGTAAAAACAAAATTCCTCAAAATCATTTCAAGGTTCCCTATCACCTGCCGCTCAAAGTTCACAGCACCCTTCCTGAACCTTACCACTAACACAACCCCACCTGACTCCAGCTCCACCAAACCACCTGCAATTCCTCACCCATCTATTGCTGAACACGCCAAATGCTTGGTGAACTCCGCCTCCATGGAGACACAGCTGAAATTTCTAAACCCTTCCCATATTTGCATCTTTCCCCTTTCTCCCTTACAAACTCCTCAAAGCAACATGTACCTTTTATTTTCAAGTATGGCAGGTATCAGCATAGTGTTTAATAAGTGCAATTAAAAGAATCACTAAAGCATAATTCAGTAAATCTGCTGATGCTCAGGCACGCTTCTAGGTTGTTTTCCATTACTCATAATGAACAGTGTGCTGTTTTTCAGTACCTTCACTGCCAGCTAATACTACCATTGCCAAAGACACAAAACAGACTCACACAGTATAAAAATTTTGTGTCATGAAAAATGGCCAAACCAGTTTTGTGTCATGAAAAATGGCCAAATCAGTTTCATAGTTACTGTTAAAGATATAGAAAAATTCCACCTTAAAAAGCTTTGGAACTGTTCCTGGGAATTTTTTTTTTTTTTGAGATGGGGTCTCAATATACTGCCTATGCTGGGCTCAAGCAATCCTCCTACTTTAGCTGCCCAAGCAGCTGGGATTACAGGTGTGCACCACCGCGCCCAGTTTATTGCTCCAATATAAGCATGACGAACAAATTAAAGTCACACTATTCTGCTGCAATGTCTTTTCATCTTTTTATTTCTAGGTACACATTATACAGAAAGCACTCAAATGTCTATTTTCATAAAACCTGGGTCACAGTCAGTTTTGGCCAAAGAGAAGACTGTCAGGTTTTAGGAGAATCCACGTGGGGAGAACCCACAAACCCACATATACAATCTGACTTTCCTGGATCTGAGGGCTTTAGGAAGAGATCTTAACAGTTAATATTTTAGCTTTCTTATGTATCTGCCTCGGCATGTTTAGAGCACAATGTGCTTAACAAGTCTTGTCACAAGGCCCAATGTGTTATGAGATCTTCACAATTCATCCTAGAATAACTGAGTCTTTGCAGTTATCTTCAAGCTGCTTCACCATGTTACTTAATCCTAGGGCTTTATTATCTTCACTGTACAGATGGGGAAAGAGAAGGAAAGAAAGGTATAAAATTACTGGGTTGAAGAGGCCCCACCATTCAGGAAAAGAGCCTTTATCAGAGCCTAACCCTCAAAGAACCTTTTTGCTTAAGAACCTTTCATTGACAGGAGACAGAACAAAGTGTCGAGATAGATACTAGCTTTTACATGTTTACTCTGAATGAATAGCGTAAGCTTCTTAGGCCTGCAGGCTGATAGCTCTAGAATAAGATTTGATGGATTAAGTTTTGTGGGCTGGATCCAAGATTATAAATCTACCTTTACCTTCTAAATTTCAAAGTAGTTTGATCTAAAAACTTCGGGGCATTTCTCTCCCGATCTTTAATTTTCAAATTTTAGGCAGTCTTTTGAATGTGTCAAGTCATACAGACTTTTCAGATAGGATTTTCTTCCACCTCCAGTCTCTTGCAGAAGAACCAAGAAGATTCCCAGGGAATGGTATCCACCATTCACAGCCAACTCAGGAGAGAGAATCTAACCTCTGACTCTAAAGTCCAAGAAGCCAGCACCCTTCTGAACCACCCTTGGAAAAATCTCAGTTTTCTCATGAAATAAGAATTATTGTCTCCATTGCTAGTAATGACTTTGTTATTCACACTTAGGAACCTTAAAATTGGGGTAGTATACTAATACAAAGATGTCTGCATGTGTTGAGAACAATTTATTTAGCAGATTCTAATTCCTGGGCCCAAGTGACTTGCATAACTGGGCCAATCGCACAGGCTCGAAGAGGCGCAAGGAGCTCACAATTCGGTTTACTGCACTTTACTAGAAAATTCTAAACCACTATTTTCTCAAATAGGCCTCCGTCTTAGATGATGTAAGCTCTTCCCTAGACTTTAAATTAGACCACTATCTTACTGGGGTGCTCGTCCCCTGCAGCAGCCAGAGGCCACCCCGTAACTCATTCTAACGACTGCCTCCTGCGGTTGGCACCGACAAATCGCCGAGACCCTGCAGCCCCCAACCGGCCACCTTCGCCTCCCCCACGTCCCCGCGTGGCCTCTCCTTCCCTGCCAGGCGCCACCCCCGCTCCATCCCGGAGACTTGGGGCTCGCGGGCCAGAGCCCCGCCGCGGGCGATGCGCCCCCAGCAGGAGCGACCGCGGGGCGGCACCTACCTCCCACCTCCGGCTCCCGGCGCGGCGGGGTCGCTGCTC